ACTCAATTTATTACATTTTACATTTATTACATATTACATTACATGTAAATACGAGCCAAACATTTCATGCAAATTCAGACTGCAATTTGTTGGCCACAATTGCACCCAGACATCTCATTACTCAACATTCAATGTAAATATTATTTGCAAACAAGTTCAATTCTTGCGATTAAACAATGTTTACGACAATAATTTTATGACCATTTTACTTATGTATTCAAACTTCAATCTATTTCATTATAACAATAATATTCTATACGTTGCCATTGGAGACAATTTTTCATATAATTTACATTTTTGTGTACATTTTATGGCAAATTCTGAGAGTTTTTCTTATGAATACTTTTAATACATATAATTTTTTTGCTATAAACAATTTAGATAACTGGTCTTTTAATGTTAATAAATATATAATTTAATGTGTAACATTACAGTACTTTAGGTCATCCCATAATTCATAATTGATCAATCAGAAATTATCGGATATTTTAAGCTTACATAAAAACTAATTTTATTTTACACATATTAACTATTATATTATATTATATTATATATTGCTATTATCTCAATATGAATAATAATAATTTTTATAAGATTTATTGTTTACCTCTCAAATTTATTGATTATTATTATTGATTGACTAATAGTATAATACAGAATTACTATTGACAAAACGTTATAAGATTTCTACATTTAGTTATAACTTATAAACCATATTCTTACTGAATTTATTAGAGAATAATATTTAAGATACGGTAATTAATGAAATTGTATTATAATTTTTATGTATAATTATTTTGCTAGTAAATTAAATGCACAATATTTTCCATCTTATTTGCATATTTATCATATTTATTCTTAACTAATAGTCTTAAAGTACTGTATAAGTAGACAAATCACGATTGTCTTGAATACAGTAATACATATTGGATAATAAATTGATTTTTCACTTATACAACATTATTTATTAAGTTTCATATTTGCATTATTTCTTATTTTATTTTATTTAATAAACTAACGTTAATTTTTTTATTGCCTCAAATGAGCCAATTTATGACATTTTCCTTAAACTGTCGGGTCGTATGTTTTGGGCATAGGTTGGGAAACATGATGTGTTCGTAACCTTTTGAAGCTCCCGTCCCAAACACGTCCAACACTGTCACAAATATTGAATATTAATACCGGTAATATAATCATACATTTACAAAATAATTATGAATAGCATACCAGTGCGATTGAACGAACTTAGTTTATTGCCAGTTATCCTATCAATAAATTTGAGATATGTCACAAATATTGAATATTAATACCGGTAATATAATCATACATTTACAAAATAATTATGAATAGCATACCAGTGCGATTGAACGAACTTAGTTTATTGCCAGTTATCCTATCAATAAATTTGAGATAAGATGGTCTCATGGCCCGGGGCTCTAATATTGTCACGTAAGCCAACTGTGCGGTTGATATGGCGTATAAAAATATGACCGTCTGGTCCTTACAACCTAACCATCCGTTTCGTACGGCTAATAAGTATATCATTTCAGTGGACTTCCAAAACAAATACAAACTAATGGTTGTATTCATGTTATTATTTGATAAATACATGGTGGGCCCTATGAATGAAAATAAAGTTTATTTATTTTTTAATATACATTATCCAAATCAATATTTACATTAATGCAAATATTAATTGTTTTAAAAGTTATTTTAATTGTGAAATATCTAATTCCTTATGTATTGCTTCAAGCAAACTATAAAAATATTATTTTTTTTATTAATAGGTATGTCTCTGATAGCTATTGTATAATAAATAACATTTTTATTACTTTGAGCAATGTATAAATACCCGTATAGGTTTCTCATTTTTTACATAAAAGTTATTGTATGACATACCGGCGCATAGGGCGGCCAATGATGAATGCCAGTCTCGGGATGTGTTTGTAGTCCTTCTGAGTATACAATTCACTGATTTATAGACCGCCGAAAAGCTTCCCAAAAACAATCCAAAGTATAGATTACTGTTATCTATCAGACCTCTAATCAGGGTAACTCTTGGAGAACTCATCAATTTCTTTGGTCTCATAAATGTATTCATTAATACCTGTGCCGTCCACCCGATCCCAAAATTTCTAACAAAATAAGTGAATGTATTTAAAACACAAGAAGTCTGTGAATGAGCACAAGTCGGATGTCTAGTAAAATAGCTGTCAATCAATGACAGTAATTGTTTGCACTTTTGTCTCAATGCATCGGAGGTTGAATTGAATTCACACGGATTACCATTTTTGTCGCTCACATTACAACTGTCCTTCACTGGTATATGATTATCACATTTATTGGACAACACTTGATCACATTCTTCACGACCTAATATCACTTTAAGGCCAATACACACGGGATCTCTTCCGTAACCAAACTTACGCACCATAAACAGTATTACAGAAATGGAAACTCTGTAATCGTTTAATAATACAATTACTATTATTCTGAAATTTATATAAAACTTTATATTTACGTGTAAAGTAGTACTTCTCCTCTGGGAATGGCTTTAATATAACTCCTATTGACAAACATTCTGTAAACGGTTTCGGAGGCAATGTTAGCGCAATAGAGAGCCAACGCTCCCCTTCGCGACCGCTTTTCAATGAGTATAGCGAACAGACTGCTCACGAATACCGGTAAATACGAGCATAAAGTGTAGTAGAATTTGCCTATAATTGCCACAAGTATTAAATTAATTTGCATTAAGGACGTGATGAGTGTATTACCGGTAAATCTCCTTATATTACAAAACATAGACATCATTAACAGTGCCGTAAACCCGAGGAAGGATGACGAGCGCAATGTATTCTTCACTATAGATGTGATCACTTTTGCACTCAATTCTCGTCGTATAATTGCATTTAATACATATAAAGGTGTGTATAGTTTGAGTGATTCTTTAAACACTGTTAATGTCATCTAAAAGCACATAATAATTACAGCAAAGAATTATTTAAAAGTTTAAATTAGTTATCACTAAGTATTGAGACCTCAAGCGCCGCCACTTCGCAGTAAGGATTCCATGTATGGCCTAAAGTAGTGGACCAACAAAACGGACAATCAGTTAACCATTTTTAAGACTTATAAAAAGTTTTAATTAGTTACCGATTTCGTAGCAATTATAAGGCAGAGCCCATTCAGGCATCAAAAGTTTACTCCAAACCGATGTCATTATTATTCAAATTAAGACTATTATAAGTATTGAACACAAAACATAGTATGATTAGCTGGTACCTAACGAATTGAATTACAAAAGTAAATGTTTGAAAAAATATTTTCATGAATACATTTTTGAGAAGTGGTGTCTGAAAAGTTCACATCAAACCAAAAATACTAACCACACATATAGCCAACCACTAGACCTAATAACATGGGTTTATTTTGTTTCTCTCATCGATGGTTAAAGTGTTGTACAAATAAATGTAATTTCATATAAATTCATGATTTACTAGTACAGTATTATTATAAAATAACTTTTAACTAAGAAAAATTTACTTCAGTTCTCAAACATTTCCAAACAAATTGATAAATGAACACAAAATTCATAGAAAAATCGGCAAATTATAAATTTTCGTATGAATATTATAATTTTAAAATTTACGCCAACATCTGGAACACGATTTTTGAAAGTGTTTCAAATAAAAAATAAAAGTTTTTGAGGTTTTCGTTGAATAAAGAAGAAAATTGATTGAAACTGATTGGAAGGGGAGATGTTTGGGTGCTTTGGGACACGAGATGTCTTTCATATGTGTCCTCAATATGAACACATTAATTATGATTTGACTTTTATATGGCCTCCGGGTTCAAGTAGTAATGATTTCAATATTAATTTTATCGTTTTATTTAATCAAACAATGAATATGTAAAATACATTTCCCTTTCAAAAACATAAACTGGACACCCCATTGATTTTAAATATTTGTTTTGTGTTTATTCAATTCATATAATACTCTGACCAAGTTTGAATGAGTACTTAATATTTTCAATAAGCAACATTATATTTTTTGGTTAAAATCTTTAGCCTTATTTTTTGCCGGACTTTTGTATTACTAAAACATTTTATTATTATGAAAAAGTTAGGGTAACAGTAAAATAAAACTTGAACATATTAATTTGTAACTCATTATATCATTTTTATGTAATAATATTAGAATAAAAATATATATTTTATTTACCTGAACCTGTAATCTTTAACGTAGGCATCAAATGAGCGAGTTTATACAAAACATTTATTGTGAAATGTTTTAATTAAAAATTTATATTTCATTCTCTATTGTATCACTCATAAATGTTTATTGAAAAATGTAACCAAAATGTACAGTATTGTGTAAATGACAAAACTCTTTAATTAAAAAAATACACTTCAATGCAAACGACTTATTAAGATAATTATAACGCAAATCATATGAACTTATAATAAATAATTACCAAAAAATGACAGTTTGTTCACAACTGAAACAAAAGTCAATATATCAGTGATTCTTGTTTTTGGGTTCATTTTATTCATAGAGTAGGAAATATTATAATATAAACACTATTTAAGTGAGAAATATATTGAATTGTCATTAAAAAAAAGAAAAATTGTTTGAAGTCAAGCAAACACTTCACATGTATTTCCTAGGTTTTTTCAATTCATAAGCTAAACAAGTAGTCAAAGTGTCAGGCTATATATTGTTCATTTGTATTTTATATATTCATTTCATTTAAATTAATTTACATTCACAATTTTCTATTTAATATTTTGTTTAAGTTTACTTTGACTTTAAAACCAATTAATTACAGATACTTATCAAGCTGAACCAAACCGTTTATAACTTTTAAATCTACAGGAGTTTATAGAAAAAGTGTACACTATTCCACCCTGCTCACACCTATTGCATAATTTGATGTGATGTCAAAACACACACTTAGCCACTGATTTACATGATGTATCAGATGATTGAGCCGGTAGTTCATGTGGAACAACACCTATTCCTATGAGCCATAGATTGAGTGTTATTTAGTCTCAATTTTTTGCGTAAATCGGTTTCGGTTTTGCGTTTCACACACTCCTCGACCAGTCTTTCGGACACCATTTCAAACAATTGGTCCACATTTGCGTTACTCTTAGCCGACGTCTCCATGAATATGACATTACGTGCGGAGGCATACTTGGATGCCATTTCGTAATCCACTTCCCGTTCATTACTAAGATCTTGCTTATTTCCTATCAGTGCGATCACCATCGGGGGTACGGCCTGACTCGTGATCTCAGTTATGTACTCCAGTGCCCTTACAAATGATGACTTTTTCTTGATGTCATAGACAGCGACCACTGCGTGAGCGCCGCTTAAGACATGATTTGATAAATTATACTATTTTTTGAATAATTGTTAAGAAATACCGGTAATATATCTGCACAATATTGGCGTACTTCTCCTCCCCGGCCGTATCCCAAACCTCTAATATAACAGAAGTGTTGTTCAAATGAAACTTTCTTTGCCTGAAGTCGACGCCAACTGTGGTCTTCGGGTTATCCGTGAAATAGCGGTCAAAGTGTTGTAACATAAGACTAGTCTTTCCCACACCATATGTGCCCACAATTACCACTTTAAATCGGAATTCCTTACACTTTAGGCGCCGTTTGGTATCCATATCCTCGTATCCCTTCACCGCATCACTTGTATCCATGATTTCTCATTTATTTGATTCAAATGACATTTTGTAATAATAAACTTAATATAACTATAAATATAAACCCGTATTTATGAAAACAATGCTGTTTTTATTTCCAATCAAATGAACTAAAGTTTATTAATCTTATTATTTTGTTAGGAAATCAATATTTTTATTCAAACACTAAAGGAAATACATATTCCGCACAAAATCACTGATTTCAAAATATGTCATGATTTTTGTCTAATATGAAAATGTTTGTCATTTAATACTTTCCTAAAAAAGTATTCAAGT